AAATCGGGGCTGGTTCACTTTGGAGACGGGCCGCTCTCTATTGTAAGTGCGCACTATTCAATAAAGAGCTTGTGATTGGATCTTGCTGGTGTTGCCTGTCTCTTTGTGGTCAGACAACGAACAGAGGCCGGCCGGGTTGACTTAAAAAATAACAGTCCTTCCTTTCCTGCTACTAACAGCTCCTGAGCTCGTTCAGCTCCTGCATTTCATCAGTGATGCTATTTGTTTAGCTTTGCCATGTCTCTCCATTTGGGGCTGCAAAACTAGATCAGTTACTTTCAGATTCTGACTCCCATGTGCCATCCACACACAAGCAGTGCTTGGATTGAAGATAATATACGAAATAGTTTTAATCCAAGCCAACCTGCTATTTATTACTGAATTTTTTAAACTACTAAATTGCTCTTTGTAATGTTTTCTCTTCTTTCTCCTTTGTCTTTTCTAACTCCAAAATGAGATAATATACGAAATAGTTTTAATCCAAGCCAACCTGCTATTTATTACTGAATTTTTTAAACTACTAAATTGCTCTTTGTAATGTTTTCTCTTCTTTCTCCTTTGTCTTTTCTAACTCCAAAATGTCAAACTCCAGTATCTAGTAGCAGCTTAGACGGGAGAATTTCATTTAATTGGGCAAATGACATTTCTAAGTGGAGTTACATAAAGTGGAGGTCTTGGGTGTGTTTGGGCCTAAAACTCAGTATGTATTTTTCTGTAGCATGTAGCTAGAGGTGCCTAAAACTGTCACGATCCTTTTCAGGCAAATCTAAGCAACGTGAGTAAGAGGCTCTGTGTGTGTGCATGTAAGTGTGCACAGCTGGACTTCAGCTGGGAGGAAGGGGCTTTGCCCCTTGGGACTGGGAGAGTCTTGGAAGACAAAAGGGCTTGACGCCTTTATCCTTACAAGTGTGAGGCTCAGAGCTTCAGCCCTACGGGGTACCTTCTGATAGTATTCAGTGCATCAAGCAGTCCTGACAGCTTGTGGCTGCTCGAGTTTAGAACCACTGCTATGGAATCTAGCACAGTGAGGGCCCAGTCCACAACTGGGTCGCCTGAGTGCTATGGTAATACAAATTAATAATAAAGTGGATTCTACTCAACTTTTTATCAGTCAGGTAATATAGCCTGTGAAATTAAATACCGTGCCTTTGTGAATAATAATTAGAAGCATGCATTGATACTGGTTCTTCTCATTTACAGTGGTGCATAATGGAGAACTATAAGAAATCCAAGATTGTGGAGAAGCCCTTTCCCATTCCGTTCACCAACCTGCCTTCAGATATTATCGAGATGAAGGTGAAGGATGGCAGCAAAATCAGAAATCTTATGGGTTATGCCATCGGCAAGATGGAGTCGGACTCGGTTAGGCAGATCCTCTTCACTGGCTCTGGCAAAGCTGTCAGCAAGACTATCACTTGTGTGGAAATCATGAAGCGAAGGCTCAAGGAACTTCACCAAATCACCAAAGTGCTCTTCAAACAGACTGAAGAGATCTGGGAGCCCATTGTCCCTGAGGCAGGTCTAGATGCCTTGACAGTGAAGAGAAATATTCCTGCCATTTGTGTCCTGCTGAGCAAAGATGCACTAGATCCCCAGGAGCCTGGCTATCAGGCCCCAGGCTCTTTTGATGCCTTCTGGATCGAAACACTCAAAGCTGAGTCTCAAGCACAAACTAAAAGAAAGCAGGGTGGAGGAAGGGGGGCTGGCCACACAGGAAAGCATCCAAGATCTATTGGAGGACGTGGCGAATTGTACAAAAAGCCTTGAGACGGAGACGTATCCAAAGCCATTTTTAATGGCATCAGGAGTAAAAAACAAGCCTGCTCAACTGTTGCCACCAAATAGTGACTGAACTCCTTAGCAGAGGAGAGCTGAAACCTAGCACAAGTGGGAGAGGGAAAAGGGGCATGTGGAAACAGGGCCATAGCGTGGCAAATACATTCCTCTCATAACAAGTCTGGAGTCTGTCTTGACAAGTCGTCTTGCTGAAGACCTGCATGGTGATTACTCTGCTGCGTGTGGCTTAATAGTGAAAGAAAGTAGCCCAGAATTGCCCAAACTCTGCTTAATGAAGAATAGGGAATTTGCCAGGAGTCCTGAGGCCAAAACAAATGTGCATTAAATGGAGCTGATTTCAGCTGCCCTGGATGCTACTTGGAAGATGGAACTGGGCCATGCATCTGTGTTAGAGATGAAAGGGTGGAAGGCTATGGGATAGAACTCTGAGTTGAGGATGTTTTTGGCTTTCCCAATTGCAATGGCATTTTATTAGACTGGACCTCCTAACAGAGCCTTTAGGCTCTGTTTCCCTTTTTTGGCTATGTTTTGCTGATCCCTGGATCTCAGCTCTGGCAGTGACTGAATGGGGAACGTTGGGCACCACAGGGATTTTGTGCGGATATACTAATTGGTAGAAATCACACTGACAGAGCTCTGTGTAAGTGTTCGGCACAGTTGTTCATAGTGAATGCCAACACTAAAACTGTAGAGCTCTGTGTAAGTGTTCAGCACAATTGTTCATAGTGAATGCCAACACTAAAACTGTGTTCCTTCTGCTACTCCTTTATGATTCATACAGCAGAATTTAAAATAAAGATCCCTCTTGAGTTTTACATCAGAAATTTTGTCTCTGTCCTTTCCTCTTTTTGCCGAAGCCATTAGTAACATTTAGAGGACTGAACTTGAGGCATCGCTCTAGGCAGAAACCTGAGCATGTTCAGCTGTGACTGAGAAGGAACAGATTAATATGTTGAACTTTTTTCTTATGGAGGAATTGTAAAAATACCTCAACGGGTTGTTTTCTCTTTACTAATCTTTTTTAAAACCTCTGAGAGGATTAACATTTGTGTAATCTACACTAATTGTGGGGCAGCTTTTTTAGATAAGTGTTGCTATAGCGGTTTAAAGAGTTTTTAAAATAGCTCTGAAGCTTCAACACTTGACTGAATGAAGCAGAGAAAATAACTTTGCTTCCCTTTTTCATGATGTTTCATTGCACGAGTATTTGTTTCAGTTAAATACGGGTCAGGAAAGAGACTCCACAGTTGTAATTGAAAGATTGAGTTACTTGCAAGTACAAATCTTATAAATTGCTTTCTGGAGGATAGCCATACTTTCCATTCTTGTTCAATCATCTGCAAGAGACACTAACAGACAGGCTCCCTTCGGAGCTTACTAGAGCCACTCTTTACTTAAAAACAACAACACTACTGAGTGTAGGTCAATTGAAGACAAATGAGCTTTTGTAAAAGCAAAGATTTACCAACAGGATTGGAGGGACTCATGAGTGAGTCTCATGTCACATCACATGAGACGCTTTCACATTCAAGGACAAGGTTTTTTTTTTTAAGCTTCATGCTCACCAGTGCACAAGGTTGATTCAGACGCCTCTAAAGTTGAGCATATAAATGTCTTTTCCATCATATCACAAGTCATGTTTCACAATACAAGTTGCATTCGCAGTCTCACAAACTCTTTGCACAGCTTATTTTCATTCTCATGCATGACTCACTTGAGCTCTCATCTCTAATAAATGTAAATATTGCCTTGAAACCCCATGAACACGTTTTTTGTGAGGATTTAAATAGTCCCCTACCAGTGTTGTGTTCTGGTGCTACGGTATGACAGACAGAATGGATGTGACTCTTCTGTATTTCTTGTCCAAGCTGATTGAAGTTAAATATAGTGTCAATTGTGAAAAATGAACCAGATTTATGAAACTTTCACTTTAAAACAATTAGGATGGTTGATACTGCAGGGAAGGAGATTGTTTTTTGTCGTGTATGGTTTTTAACTGGACTGTTTCACTTTAACGGGTGAAAATTAGGTTTTCACAAATTGCTCACTTTCAGAGGCTTATTGTTGCCTCTCCTGACCTCCACTACCATGAATAGTTCAATTACATTTTAAATTTACAAAAGCGGCGAGGAATCCTGTGGAACCTTATAGACTAACTGAAGTGTAGAAGCATAAGCTTTTGTGGGCAAAGACCCACTTTGTCAGATGCATGTAGTGGAAATTTCCAGAGGCAGGTATAAATATGCAGGCCAGAATCAGGCTAGAGATGACAAGGTGGATCCAATCAAGGAGGATGAGGCCCACTTCTAGTAGCTGATCTGGAGGTGTGAATTCCAAGAGAGGAGAAGCTACTTTTGAAGTTAGCAAGCCATTCACAGTCTTTGTTTAATCCTGAGTTGATTGAGTCAAACTTGAAGATGAACTGTAGCAGAAGCAAAATGCAGGACAATGTAGCACTTTAAAGACTAACAAGATGGTTTATTAGATGATGAGCTTTCGTGGGTCAGACCCACTTCCTCAGATCAAAAGTAACTGAAACTGCTGTAGCTCAGCAGTTTCTCTTTGAAGCCTGAAGTTTTTTTGCTGCAGGGTGGCTACCTTTAGATCTGCAATTGTGTGTCCAGGGAGACTGAAGTGTTCCCCTACGGGTTTTTGTATGTTGCCATTCCTAATATCTGAATTGTCCATTTATTCTTTTACGTAGGGACTGTCCAGTTTGGCCGATGTATATAGCAGAGGGGCATAGTTGGCACATGATGGCATATATTACGTTAGTAGATGAGCAGGATAATGAACCACTGATGGTATGGCTGATCTGGTTAGGTCCTGTGATGGTGTTGCTGGTGTATATATGTGGGCAGAGTTGGCACCGAGGTTTGTTGCATAGATTGGTTCCTGAATTAGAGTTACTATGGTGCGGTGTGTAGTTGCTGGTGAGAATATGCTTCAGGTTGGCGGGTTATCTGTGGGAGAGGACTATAAATTTATTGTAAATTTATAAGGCAAATGTGCAAAGATGGGTCAGCATGATGTGCCTCTTGAAATATGACCGGGAGATGCTAGCTATATCCCTTGACTCAGGTTCTGGTAGCCTGAAGTTCAGCTGATTTTATTAAGGTCTGACCAGTCTGAACTTAAACATATTCAATCGTACGTGCTTTGTTTAAGGATCGTTGTGTGATTAGAAATTATAACAGGAATTAAAGTTACATGAAGCCCGTAATGCAGATTGAGAATTTATCCATGTGATTATGCGATGAGTAACATTTGTTTCTGTGAGAAACTCATGTGACTTGGAAGCTGCTTTTTCAAACACCGTAAAAGGGGAAAAAAACCATCACTGTCCATGAAGTGTCTGTATATCTTCAAGACAGAAGGATACAAATTGAGGCCCTAGTTCAGCAAGGAACTTAGCATGTACCTAACTAGCTGCATGAATAGCCCCACTGGCTTTCCATGTGACTGGTACCATGCTCTAGGCCCCAATTCAACAAGGTACTTAAACAGGAAGAAAACTGGCAGACAAAAAATGTAAATAACAGACACTTTATTCTGGTTGAAATGCAACCAGGCGTCTGCTGGGCGGAGATAGTTGGAAGATTTCATTTGAATTGAGCTAACGCCGTTTCAGAAGATGCAGGCTAGTCCTACCTCTGGACACAGGTCCTGTCTTCCTTAAATCTAAGGAGAAGCTTGTTTTTGTTAATTAGCAGATTGGAGCTGAGTAACAACTGCCAAAGAAGCAAGCACAAGGGACAGATCCAGTGGCGTATGTCTGCTGTACATAGCGCCGGAGGGCTCAAATTACTTTCATTTTCTACTAAAATGCTCTCTTGAAAGAAAGCCAGATACAAAAGTGGCATGTGTAATCCTCTTTGTAGCGTCCCACTTCGCATGGCCTGCCTCTTAATCAAAGCTGCAATGTGGGTTTTATTTTATAAGTAGGTGTTTAAGTTTGAAAATTACCAGATCAAATGACTATATCAATCCAGCCTTTGTGAGTGTTTTCGAGGCTCCACTTGTATTCTCAATGAGGAATTTTGTGTCTTCCTACATCACATAAGCTCTGGGGTGGCGCCAGAACCCAGAGATGGAATTACTGTGAATTAGTGCTGTTACGAAGCTTTCTGGGGGAAGCCAAGGTTGTCTCTAACTTTCCAGCACTTACACATATTGGTAAACCTGCTATTAACACAGCAGGAAGCCATAAGAACCCCACAAATGTAGCCTCAGAATTGTGGAGCAGCTGCAGGCCCTGCGACCTCATGGCAGAATCAGAGCAGTGAATGTGGCTTCTTCCTGCTGGGAGGATGGAATAGGTTGGCGTGGTCGCTCCGTAATTGCTGCTCTGATTTTTCTTTTTTTCTGCCACACAGGTGAGAGTGTGATTTCAGTTCTGCAGTTTCCTCTCTCCATTGTCTGGCAGGGGCTGAGACAGCTGATGCCTCGGCGAGAGAGGAGAGGGGATGTGTCATCCTTGTCCCCATTAGACACAGATAGACATGGTTTGGATTCAAGGTTCTGCCGGTTGATGGCACACTGTGCATGTCGAAACGGGCTCTCAAACTCCTAGAGCAGGCCCAATTTCATAGGCTGCTTTCTCGCTTGCTACCATCTAACATGGCAACTACAACAGTTGCTTTCATGGGCAATGGAGAAAGGAAGCTATTTAATGGATTTTTAGCTCTTAGTGCCGGGAACAAGGAGCGGAGTCAGTCACTCTTCTGGGACCAGCCAGCTCTCTGCTGACCACAGTTTAAAAACGATTCTAATTAGTATTTGTATTGTGATCAGAGCTTAGCAGCTCCAGTCACAAACCAGCACCCTGTTGCACTAGGTTCGGCACAAAAAGGCAGGGGTCAGGAGGGAAGGGTTCCGATTTATGATAAGCCTCTTGGGGCACATCTACACTGATGCTGGGAGTGAGCATCCCAAGCTGGGCAGGGCCCCACCTAGTGCTCTGAAAACAGCTGTGTAGACGTGTTCCAACCTGAAGCACAGGTTCGGAAGCTTGCCGTAGAGCCTGAGCTACAATGTCAAAGCAACATCTATGCAGCTAGTTTTAGAGGACTAGTCTGAGTCTGAACCAGAGCTGGGGGACCCCTTGACACACACAAAGTCTGGTTCATAAAGCAGCCAGAAATCTCTCCATCCTGTGCTGATGAGCCTGCAGCTTCCTGCCCTAGGATCCTGGGCTAGGGATGGGAAAGATTCACTGGTAAGCATCTCCCTTAATGGGTGATACGTTCTGGATAACAGTTAACTGGTATCCAGGAGCAGCCTTGCTGGGCTCTCCACATAGGGCTGCCGGTTTCCAGCTTGTATGGGTTGGGAGCCAGCAGCCCCTACACGGGGGCTGGAAATAGCGGTGGCAGCAACAGCCTCCGTATGGGGACCAGGAGCAGCTGAGCTGGAATAGCCCCTGCCTGCAGCATGGGCTGTTCTAACCCAATTCCAGCGGGTGGGGTGTCCCCACACCCGCTTTAATTGGTTAAATGGTTAAAGGCATGGCAGCACTGCATTCAGCCTTTTATCCAATTACACAGGATTTTACATACTTACTGCAGATGATGCAACAACACCCAGTATTTAATGCACTGGCACAACTGGTGGGTCTGTACCTCCCTTTGTTCATTGTTGCCCTATAATTTGCCTGAAAACTGAATTTAAAATGTACAGGCA